CAGACTTGGAGACCTCAGAAAAGCATCAAGGATCTGGCAACAACTAGTGGTTTCAGGCAGAGCTAGACTGCAGAGAATAGCTACAGGAGCCAGTCACCTGGGAAAGCTGCTACACTGGAGTTTATATTGGATCAGGCTGTCCTAAGGGATTTCTGCAGGAAGATTGAAGAGGCTGCTGAAAACTCCGGAAAAAGAGTGCAAATGGGCCATAAAAATGAAGGCAAGTGGGAGGCATGATTTTTTTTTCTTTGGCCTAAATTTGTGCACAAGCTTTTGTTCACAGATGAAGTTCTTATCCTGAGGAAGAATCTATCACTCTGGTATATGAATGTCAGCAGAGCTGGCGTCAGTGCCAGGACGCTTGTTTACTGTGCTGCTTCCTAATGTGACATTTCAACACCAAGAAAGGGCTTCTTATGCTTTCTTATGCTGCTCAAGAGAATCCCTGCTCCTCTTCCTAACTCTGTTGTAAACTGCCTGCTCTTTATGGCACTATGTCTATTAAGTCTACCCTGTCAAGTTGGTACACATTTCTCTTAAGCACTTAACCCTCTGTTGCCCATTTTGCACATTGGTTTAATCCCATGCTCCCACCTGAAATGTAAAAATTAACTGCCTTAGAGGAAGCCCAACGCCTTAATGCATCATTTACATCAGACTTGCTCCAACACAGAGGGCTGGTGACCAAAGGTCCATGGATCCCAGTGGAACATGAGACCCACGTCTACGGCGAAGCTCTCCTAGAATTTCCTCCTGTAAGAGGGCTTGGCTTCCTTGTCCTGTTCCCGTTACCCTCCTCTTGCCAAGTAGCACACAGTTGGCTGGCAGTTTCCCGAGACCATTGTGAGAAGTGCCTTCAAAGTCATGACGTCATGTGTGGCAGAGCATGCCTCCAGTCTGAGTGAGTTCCTGTCAGCCTTATGCGCGAGGGGAATACTGAATTAATTCCTGATGCCATTACATGCATCTCAACACGAAGATGACACCCACTGGCATAAGCATGTTGAGTCACTACATTTCCTTTCCCCAGGCTGCGAAAACACAAGCATCGTAACTGTTTCCCAGCACAGACCCATAATGGTGCTGGCTCCTGCAGAGAGACTGTGGGCTCCACTCAATCTCCCAACAACTTCTCCTAGGAGTTAACACCAGTGCAAGGCACAAGTTGGTCTGCCTTTCTGTCTCACCTTTTTTTTTTCCTGTGAAATGAAAATAGGAGGAGTACAGAGAAAGCTATGCACCTGCCCCAGGTTGTGAAACTTGGTTCATATAAGGCTGTTGAGATTCCCCCCTCCAAAATAAAAAAAAAGGGAGAAAAGGAAGAGAAAAAAGAAATTATGGTTTGGACCAAGTTCAGGCCTTTGATGTGTGTTCTGAGTCTGGGAGCCCAAGAGACAGTTGTATGTTTAATGCCTCGCTATTTCTGTACTGGGCACAGACTCTTTTCCCTCACCATCTCCTGGATTGCACCTGATCTTATTTCAACGACCTTTTTTATGCCTATGCTTTAATACCAGTTTTTTATTATTCCTTTTATTACTGAGTGAAACAATTGTAGGTTTAATGGGCCATTCCCAACCCTACAGACCAGTGTGTCCTGGGGGTGTTCATCAGAGGGTGGAAAGAACTTTTGCTGCGTCATCTGTGAGAGATGCTCGAATCTGCTGGGAGAGCCAGCAGGGCAGAAGTGGAAGTCAGGATACTTCCTGAATAAAACAAATTGCAAGGGAAAAGACATCTTTTTCACAGGGTGAAAATGCCTCCCCTCACCAATGGGGTGAGGTAGCTAGGGGAGAAGACTGGTAGCAGGGCCTTGCAGCTCTTGCTTTATGTATTTCTGCTACTACTGCACAAGCAGGCCAACAAGGGAGACCACCGCTGCAAGCCATTTGTCAAGAATGCCAGAGAGATCCATCCCTGGCTTATAAACAACACCCATGGCTCTCTTCTGTGATGACTATACCTGTCTATGTTAAGGAAGCCGGCAACTGGAAAGCAGAGGAAGATGATAGAAAAGGGGAAGGCTCTCAGTCCTGGATGGACAGATAGGTAGTTACTGCCTCTAGGATCCCAGGGGACAGGTAAATTGTAAGGGAAGCTATAACATGCCATAAAACGAGTATCTCCTGTTGAGACTGTGATTTGTCACAGCCAGGATAGTTATGAATTTTAGTTCAAGAGTCAGTATTATTTTAGCTTACCCTTGGGGATCAGGATTCACAGGCTGGAGATGAATAAAAATGTTGTATAACGTTTGTATAGGAAATGTTTCCCCACAAGTAAGCAGGTGTTCCTGCTCTTCACTGAGTGGTCTGTGTGATACACAGTTTAGAGAGGGCATTTGGCATAAAGCATAAAACATATCACATTACACGTGAGAATATGTGGGATCCAAAGTTTTTGATGGGTCTGAAGTGAGACAGCTTTGAAAATTCAGATAACTGGGTCAATGACAAAATGTGTTATTTTACTGCCTTTGAGGTTTTGTTTCTGATGAGTATTTGGGTCTCCATACCTCTGTCTTAGGGAGTTTCAAGAAGGAAGTGTCAAGCACAGATGACAAGAGGAGATAATAACCTGGTCTGTGGTGCAAGGGAGAGACTTATTGGGGATCTCAGCACTGCAGGAGACTGGGAAGAACGGTGGCCTCAAAAAGAGGCATCAGAAGAACGGCCTGGTTGGAGGACAGCCAGGTGCCTTTAGACATCTTTGCTCTCTTCCCTAATTACTACACCCCTCTGGGAATGGTCTGAGTTACAGGGGCTGCTCCAAATCACCATGATTATTCATTAGACCCATCTACACAAGCGCATGTTCCCAGGATATCTGAATGAGACACAGCTCAGCCTGTAGCCAAGAGATGACATCCCTTAATCTTTGCCTTGAGTAACAGCTTTAGACAGCCAACCCCAGTCCTGCACCCCACCTCTGCCATGCTTCAAACTGTCAGGGGATTGGTTTAATGAAGCATGGCATTGAAATTCAGCCTCAGAGGAGGTAGAAAATTTGAAAGACAAAGCTAGGACCCATTTGTGGGAGCAAGCTCTGCCATCGAGGGGGTGAAGCCAACCACCCTCCCTGCACATGCTTATTGTCCCCTTCATCCCACTGGGGACAGAGGTAGCCCAACAGCAGCTGTGAGTCAGAACAAGTCACAAAGGACACATTCTAGAGGAAAAGCAAAGGCAAAAATGCACACACAGGTTCTCTTGCAAGTGTAACCATTCGGAAAAGTCTAATTATTGTAAATGAAAATTAATAGTGATCTGGGAAGATTATAACTTTCTCTCTCTTCTTCTTCCCCCCTCCCCTCCAAACTTTCTGATTGTGCTTTTTTTGGCAACCCAAAACCAGTAATTTGATGCAAACTCTGGCCACAAATCCAATGGAGCTTGATATGCTTTAAATGAGGGGAGGGGGGATAGGCAGGGGTGATTGCTTTAATAACTGTTCTTGGAGAAAGGCCATTGATGTGTTTTCATTACTCGGAAGAAGAAGAAAGCCAGAAAGAAAACAAGTGGTAGGACAGCCGTTAGAAAATAACTATGAATAATTATAGAGTGGGGCTAAGGGGAAGTCCAGGGAATTACTTAAGGGATATAATCATGAGCCCACATCCAGGCCAGTTACTGGTGGCTAAGAGGAGGATGTATTCAAGCAGTGTTTGAGGGCCCCTCTGGTTTGGGTCTGTCTCCATCCAGTCTTGCATGAGCCTGAGTCCCCATCACAGAACCCATGGTCCCCAGTGTCTCAGCAGGACCCCAGAATGTTACATGCATTCTTGATCTTACAGCACTCTGCAGACCTTCAGGGATGAGGCTCTATGCATGTGTCTGGGATGGGATGGAGACAGGATATTTTCCTTCCACAATGGGAAAGCTGAAGGTCTTAAACTGCAGCCTGGATTAGACTGGTGAATATCTTAATGGTCCTTTGAAAGAAGACTGCTCTGCTGCTCCTTGTGTGTAATGAAGGAAGCTGTACACAGGTATCCCACCAGCAGAAAACTGCAAGAACTGGAGGTGTGATAGTCAAAGGGAGGAGAAAAGAGAGTTTTTCCTAGTCAAAAGGGCTATAAATGGGAACAGCCAGTTCTTCCCTTCCCCAGATTCCACAGTGGTTTGGAAGTCTCTGAGAACTTCTGCAGCACCTTAGCAGAAAGGACAGCCTTGTTTCTGAGCACTCTTCAGAGTCAGGCTGCAGAGGTCACATCTCCTCATCTCTAGAAAGCCTCCAAACCACCCATACCCATTCCTGTCAACCGTGCAGCCATACACCCACCCATGGGGCTCTAAAAAAAATTATACCCCCCTATCCTTTGGGGAGGGGTTTTTGGCACATTCCTGGTGGTGATATTGATTCAGAAAAGAACATTTCCAGACACACAGCAATGCAAAAGAAGATGAAAAGCCCAAATCCATCTTGGCTCAGGCACAGAGCAGGAGGGAATCCAGAGTGGTTGAAAGATGAAAAAAGAAAAAAGAAAATCAGCAGGACCCAAGAGGTTATTTTCATGCCAACTCCTCAGGCGCTGTGCAAAAAGTTCAGGAATGAATGTGCACAGCAGGCTTAGAAGGAGGTGATGGTCACAGTCAGGAGTTATCTCCTCTAAGGAAAACACTACTTACTCTTTGTTAATGGGGACAGGCAGCAGGTACGTGATCACAGAGGCCTACATCAGACCTAGCACACCCTGTAAGGGACATCTGGATTCCCAGTCAACTCCAAGCATGTCTTCTACCCTAAATCATTATCTCAGTGCTCACAGCAGAACCTGCAAAACCTTACAAAGGCAGAAAGGAGCATCATTCTGATGGCAACTGCTTGTTCCAGGAGACGCCCCTCTCCAGCCATAGCAACAATCTGTTGTATTCCTAGGTCACCAATCACCATGACATCCATCTGCACAGCAAGGTTTATAAAGCTCCTTCATCTATGCCAGAGAGACATGGCAACCCCCTGAATTTTACTGCGCTACAAGGTAAACAACCAGACAATACCTCCAGAAGACAGCAGACTGGAGCATCTGTTCAAGTTTCTGAGAGACCATCTGAATTTATACTCTTCCTTTTATTTACACCATTTTGTCTTCTGGTTATTGATGATGTTTCTCATCTGTTTTTATGAGATGCAGGTGTTTTCTGCACTTCAGCTGGGAGCACTTTCCCTTTTTAGCCAATTCCAGATCTAATTTGTGTCTCAGTCACCTTTTGACTGTGATACTGGAGAGGCAGCGAGAGGAAAAAAGAAAGAGATACTGGGTTTTGCTGCCTCAGCAGATGTGTGTTAAAGTGTTTTAGTGATTCAGCTAGTGCATCTGCCTGAGGCCAAAGGAGAGGCACTGTCTGAATCTAAAACAATTAATAACAAAAAAAGCCCTACTGTGGGCAGCATGAAGCGGGGGAAGGTGGAGGTGGAAAGGGAGCAAATAACAGGAGTATTTCCAGCTTGCAGAGCACCTTGGCAAGATCTCCAACCGCTTTCAAAGACAGCCCTGCAAACCTACCCAGTCCCCTCCAAGATACAGAAGCTTCATCAGCTCTATTGCACATATAAGGGAAACTGAAGGTGCTTTTGCAACTCATCTCCAGTCATCCAGCATCTCTGGAAGAGTGCCAGCCTCTCGCCAGAACCAGAAAGCACTTTCTTGATGCCCCAGGGAAGCGTGACCCCATACACAAGCCCACGCTTGCAGCACTCATGTCCGGACGGTGGGAGAGTTGCAGCACCCACTTCTTGTTGGGCCACACGTGTTCTAGTAGGGACACAGCCATTTCCCTCATGCTAGGGGACTGCTCTCCAGTCCTTTGAGAGCCACCAGCAATGCAGTGACCTCTGCTCTCCACTCCAGCTGGGAAGGTGCAAAAGGGAGCCTCTGTTGTCTGCTTATGACAAAACATCTGTCTTCCCCATTAGCAGAAGAAACTCATTTTGCACTGTGCTCAGGCAAGAGGAATTTGTCTCCTGAGCCACTTCTGCCTCTACCATTTAAACATCCAGTACCGCCTTTAAGCTTCAGTCCCTGTGAAAGGCTCCAATGACATCCCAATGCTCAGGATCTCATGTCCTTCACTTGCCAAATCCACTCACCTCACAAGCTAAGTCAGGTGAGGCACGGGGAGATGAAGACACCAGAGTCACCAGTCACCACTGGAAATCTTGGCAGCCAAACCTTGATAACATGAAAGAGAGCCAACACAGCCCTGCAGAACACCCAGACTCTGATCTGGTGGGGGGAGACTCCATTTCTACATGCGGTTTAAAATTGATACCCCCATGAGGCATGTTAGAAAGCAAAACATTGATGCTGTCTTCACTGGAAGCATCGGTTGCTTTGTTTTTTTTAATGACACAGCAAGCTGCTTGCAAAGAGATAATTTCATTCAGCCTAGCCCTTGCTGGATGTGGAAGGAAGTCCTTGGAGGTGACTCTCCAACGTATCCAGTATGCCACCTAGCCCTCACTAGCTCTACTACACCCAATGATGCAGGACGGGCTGCTCGCTCCTGCTGGAAAGGGGCTCCCAGTGTGAAGCTGCAAACATTTGCTGGGGTTATCAACACAAGTAAGAAGGCATTGTCCAAGAGAAGGACAAATATATTGGGAAGAAATCACGTTCTACTTCTGACACTCAACCCAGTCTCCGCACAAAGTGAAACACTGTGTTGGTATCTGCACCATGGGCTGTTGCTCATCTTTCCTTTCTGCATTTCTGTCTCAGACTTGCCCCATCAGTTCCACTTTTGGCACTTGTCATTTTTCCCTCCAAGAATGAAATATTGGCTCATTTTCATGACGATGCTTCAGGCACCTGATTTCACAACCTAGTTATTCTCCTGTATAAGCATTATTTTGCTAATGAGTTTCAGATCTACACAAACTGGACAGTGGTTTTGGAGGGAGAAAAAAAAAAAATCTCACGCTTGTATCTGTGATTCAGATCTTAATCTTTCTAGATTGCCTGAACTTGTTTGATGTTCTAAGTGCCTCCAAAACACACAGATTAGCCCAAACTGATTAAAGTGTATGTTCCATCCTCTTTATCTTACCCTTAAAAGTCAGTGCTTTTGCACATTACAGAGAGTATCGTAATGAAGTGTGATGTATCTGAGATGTAAAGAACAGTTAACTGCTGTCCAAATAATTAATTCTCTTTTTGCAACACAGCCATATGTAACACATTGAGCCTATAGCAATGAAGTATATTAGAAGATGCTAACAGAAACCTTGGTTTCCTCTGAACACTCTCTCTTTACTCCCCCAGAATAAGAAAGTATGTCTTACAAACATAAAACATGATTATGATCTGCCTTGAAAAAACACAAGCCAGGAGAAATGTGATCTTTCTTAGCTGCAGGCTCTCCGACAGCTCACGACCAGCCATACGCTGCACACTGCCCTACTGCTGTCTTAACTTTCTCAGGGTAGTGGGTATTTTTTGGTGTCAGCATAGGATGCCGAAAAGACAGCCCTTGTGAAGAGCAGGGACAGCATGCACCAGGAGGTCATCTGCAACTCCATCCCAACTGCTGGGCTCAGTGGATCAATACAGGCGGTAGCCCCATGATCCCCATAGCTGAGACCAGTTTCATAATGTGGGAGAAAACCTGCTAGCAGGGCACATTGCATAGCTAAAAACTTGTCATCTTCTGATTGAGGGTATGACTTGGTTTCCAGGTGTGTTTTCATAGATGAATGTCCTCACAGCACAGCACAGGACTGACATGAGGGTAGCCACAGGACAACTTCACACCTCCTGGACTTCTGACTGCTATGAAAGCCTAGGAGAAAGTTCCTGGACAGCTCTAATTAGAGCAGCTTCCCCAGGGATACCTTGCAGGACCTCTGCCCCATGGCAATACAGCCGTGCCCAAGCTTCCAGTGCCAGGGCTTGCAGCTGGGCTCAATGGAGGCAGCTCTCTACACGCCTCACCATTTTGTGTCCCGCAGGTTGGAGCGGGAGTGAAACCTCGCCTCCAGCCCTCCAGAGACTCTCATTGTCTCCATTGCAGGTATTAATATACAGGGCACACTGTTTATTAAGGGGTAGAAAACAGAATGAGGAAAGCAAATTTCCTCCTACCCTTAGACCTTTCACAAAGTGCTTCCACATCTCCAGGTGAACAGTGCTCACTCTCTGCCCAGTGCTTCCCATTCAGACCAGTGGCAGATGCATGTACTTAATATGCTGTGAAAGTCATATCAACTGAAGAAACCATTTTAAATTGCTTCTGGATAAAGTCTTAAGGGATTGCTTTTCTTACCTTAAGCATGCTTTATTTATTTATTTTTCCAGTTAACTGTGCTCTAAGCAGAGATTAAGGTAGCATTAAATAAAACCTCTGGAAACCCTCTTGGTAGAAAGAAGAAAATAAAAGGCTTAGAAATGCAACTTTCGGGGTTCTTTTAAGGGTAGGAGGGAAGAACAGGGGAAAGCTGATCTTTACTACACAGTCCACACGGGGTAGGAAGGCAGTAAAACAAGGAAAACCTCAGAGGTGCAAAAAAAAAAAGCCTTAAGAGTGAAAATTTTGGAGAAGAAGGAGTTAACGCTTTTAAGCAACCATCTCTTCTCTTACCATAGATAAGGGTGCATTCTAGTGGCAAAATCCATGCAATGCAGCTGCACAGATGACTGATCTAAAAAGAAACCTGTGGAATATGAGGCTTTGGAGGAGTGTGTGCACATGTGGAAGCGGGGGGTGGAAGACTTGGATCGCACATAAACCTCACCAGGAACCGTCTTTTAATTTAACGCTTTTAATTTCCCACTGCCGTGGTCGATAACCCTGTGCTTGCGCTCCTGAGTGAGCCCGTAGCCCCTGGCTCTGCCGTTCCTGCCGGCGGGCTCAACTCATCCTACTGCTCCAGGTGTAACACCCGGTGCACAGCTGCCGGGACGGGCCGCAAACCGCAATGCTGGAGATTCCCTTCCCCACGCTTCCAGCTTCCCCGCTCCTAGCAATGCATGAGCACTAAGGGAGGCAAGTGCGAAGGACCACGGCCCTGAGCGCTGTAACCCTTAGGTATGCAGCGGTGGAACAAAAGACAACAACCCCACGCTGCCCAAGAGAGAGGATGAGCATTGCAAAGCACTTTTTCTTCCCTTCTCCCTCCCCACCTTGTGCAGGGCAAGAGGCAGAAGAAGAATGAGCTAAAACGTGCAAATTGGACTTCACATGGCAAAATTCCCCTTGTTTTCTGGCATGCCCTAAGCAACTGCGAACTTTTCCAAAGAGGAATCTAAGAGTTCTAACAAGCAGCCCAGCCCTCCTTCCTGCTCACTGTCCGGCGGGGTTAACCCTTGCTGTTTGGGAGTGTCATGGGCGCACCCTGGCACTGGGCAGAGCCTCACTGCGGTTTTACACCGGGCAGAGGGGCAGGAGAGGCGAGCTGGGCACCCCGCACACACACAAAGGCTCCTTCCCAGGCCAGGGCGGGCGAGAGCGGCTCCTTGGCGCGCATCCAGCCATCTCCCTCCTGTGCTCACCTTGGGAGCTGAGGGGTAGGTGGGTACGCCCGATCCCCGCTCCGATGGCCCCCAGCCCCCCAGGCAGCAGTTGGGGGTCCCTGCCCCACCAGCACAGCATACAGTTGAGGCAGGATCAAGCCCTGCTAACCCGCCCCTAAATGCAGAGCCCTGACCTCTCCCTCCCTGACTCCCCACAGGCTGCTGTGCAACCCAATTGCAACCACTTTTCTCCTTTTCTCTTTCGCTTAAACCGTGAAGATCTGAACTTCTCCCCCCTCCTCTCTTCTCTTCCCCTCCCCATCCTCGCCTTTCCCTTCCCCCTCCTCCTCCTCCCCTTGTCTCTCCTCATAATATTATCCTTGATCAGTGCCCGGGGTTTGAAGCCCAGAAGTCAGGAGCGGCGCTCCCCACCCCCACCGGCTCGAGTGCGCACTGATAGGGCCCTCGCTGCTGGCACCTAGTCAAGCTGAGGTGTCATTGGGATCTCAAATTGCAGCGAGGGGCTGGCAGGCAGCCAGGGGCAGTCTATTTAAAAGACAGCCTGTTCTGCAGTATTCAGTCTCTTTAGAAACTTCTCCAGGGGAAAAGTGTTGGGAGATCTACAAAGTGGATTTTTTTTCATTTTTTTCCCTTTTTTTTTTTCTTTCCCCTTCCCCCTGTTTTTTACCGCTCTTCTGCAGACTTTGCAACAAAACACTCCAACTTTGCAGAAAACTTTTTTTTTATATTTTTAAATTTTTTGCCTTTTCTAGTTTTTTTTTCTTTTTTTCCGGCTTTATTTTGACTTTGCAAATCCTGGAAGAGGAAAGCGGGAGGGTTGAACAGAGCCGATCGAAACACAACTTTGCTTCATACCAGGCTTCCCAGCACCTCGCTGCGTCGGGAGGGACTGTTTCTCTTCCTGCAGAAGAAGAGAGAGGGAAGGGGAGCTTTGCATCCCCTCTTCCCTCTGCTGCGTGTTGGGTTTCTTTTTTCCTACCCCTCTTGACTGCTTTGATGCATTAATAGCAGGACACTGGTTTTCAAGGAACTTTGCTCCCTTCCCACCCTGCCTCCTCCCAGCCCTTTGGGAAGAGTGTGTGTGTGCGCGTGAGTGTGTGAAACCGCCGTCCCACCTCCCTAGACCCCCCTGCTCCCCTCCGCCTCCCTCTGCAACCTGTAGGCTGTGCAACCCCTGCAGGCTTTGCTCCTTTCCCCCCCCCCCCCCCTCCTTCCTTCCCCCTCTTCTTTTTGCGCTCCCGGAGACTGCTGTGCGAATTCCCCCTTTCGAGACGAGAAAAAGAAAGGAGAAAACGGACAAAAAGACAAAAAGCAAACCTAGAGGCCCCCCCTCTCCCAACGCCAAAAGCAAAGCAGGAGGGTCTAGCACCCCGAGAATAAACCCCAGAGCGGGGGGCTTGCACCCAGGGGCTGCGCTTTCCGCCCCTTCTTGAATTTTTAATATTTTTTTTCTCTTTTTTCGCCCCAGAAGGGGCAAGCGGGAAGCCAGCGCAGCCCGTCCCCCCGCCCGCGGCGCCCCCCTCCCGCGGCATCCCCCGCACCCCGTCCCGCAGCATCCCCGCCGCGATGCTGCTGCGGCTCCTGGTGCTGCTGGGCGCCTGCCCGGGGCTCTCGCGGTGCCTGGGCTCCTTCGTGCAGTGCGAGCCCTGCGACGGCAAGGCGCTGTCGCTGTGCCCGCCGCCGCCGCTGGGCTGCGAGCTCGTGAAGGAGCCCGGTTGCGGCTGCTGCCTCACCTGCGCCCTGCCCGCCGGCCAGCCCTGCGGCGTCTACACCGAGCGCTGCGCCCGCGGGCTCCGCTGCCTCCCGCGGCAGGGCGAAGAGAAGCCGCTGCACGCCCTGCTCCACGGCACCGCCGTCTGCCTCAGCGAGAAGAGCTACCGCGAGCAAGCCAAGGCCGGTGAGTGGCGCCCGCCTCGCCCTCCCTCATCTTTCCCGGGTGCTTTTCCCGTCTGCTCGCTTGCTTTTCGCACCCCGCCACCGTCTCCCGGCTGCATTTTCCCCTCTTCCTGGGTGTTCTTCCTTCCCCTCCGCTTGCTTTTCCGCCTTTCCGGCTCCCTTTCCATCTTTCCGCTGGCTTTTCTGCTCCCTCCCACTGACTGCTCTTCCCTGCTCCCCCTCCCCCCGCCCGCCTTCCTATTCTTCCGACTGCTTTTTCATCTTCCCAGGTGCTCTTCCATGCACCCGCTTGCTTTTCCGCCTTCCCGGCTACTTTCCCGTCTTTCCACCCGCTTTTCCATTCCCACTCTTCCCCAGCTGCACTTCCATCCCCCCTCACCCGCCGTGTGCTTTTCTGCCTTCCCGGCTGTTCTTCCATTCATCTCCACCACCACCAGCTGCTTTTCCATCTTTCTGGCTACTTTTACATCTTTCTGCCTGATTTTTTTTTTCTCTCATATACACACATATACAGGCCCCAGCTGCTTTTCCATCTTTCCAACTATTTCCCCATTCCTTCCCCACCCCTTCCACCAGCAGCTTTTCCAAGCCCAATGGTTCTTTTCCATCTTTTCTGGCTCTTTCTCCACCACCACCACTTCCCTTGTCTGCTCTGTCATCCCCCTATTGCTTTTCAACCTTATTTTTCCATCTTTCCAGCTGCTCTTCCACCCCTCCCATTTGCTTTTGCATCTTTTCCAGCTGCTCTTGCACCCTCTTTGCTATTCTTCCATGCCCCCCACTGCTTTCCCATCCTTGTTTGCATCCATGCCCTTGTTGAACCTCCTGTTGCATCATCTCACAGCCTCCCCCAACCCCAGCTTAAATCATAACCTCTGGGTTGCCCTATCCCCAGTGGAAAGCTTTTCTTCCGCCACCTCCCAGGTACACCCTCTTAGTCACAGCTGCATCCCAGTCGTTCCCCAGTTGCATCATTTACATCTTTCCTGCATCCCAGTCCTCATCCTCTCCCTGACCCCTTTCTGTCACCATATCTTCCACCTTGCTGGGGGGCCCAAATTGACCTCTGCAGGTTGACATACAGGGGAGGGCAGGGCACCTTCTTGCAACTACCTGCCCCATCCCCAAAGTTCTCAAGCACCCTGGCGTTTGTTGCTCAGACTCCCACTTTCCCCTCACCATCACTGCAGCCCTCTCCTCTTGCCTGCCTGCTGCTGGATGCCTTTGTTGGGCAGTGGGTTTTAGTCCAGGGAGGTGAAGAGAGCAGGTGCACTGAGAGCAGGGGATCTGCGATTGCAAATCATAATGATGGTGTCGCTAATAAGCAGAACAGGTTAAAAGCAAGCACGAAGGCTGGTGTGGTAGCGCCAGTGCAAAGCCAGGCTTCTGAAATATTTGCACTTTGCACGTGACAAAAGCACGAAAGTAAGCACTCCTCCTCTTTGGCACTCATTTAACTCCCACTTCTGGATCCTGCAGCTTGCTCAAGGACACTTTCCCTTTACTCCTCCAAATACATTTGTATTTCTGCCACACGGTGAAGAGGAGGCAGGGAGTTTCTGCATGTTCAAGGGGACCAGAGGACCACTTGCCAAAAAAAAAGCAAACCCAGAAACGAGGCCCCCACTTTTTTTTTGTTCCATGAAAAACTCATTTTTGCTTGTTAGCAAGCTTCTGCTCATACCCGCGCAATGGGAATCCGTTCCTCCTTCCTAGCACCTAATAAATCTTGATGGTTTTATTATTTTTCCCCTTAGCTGCTTGCAGGCAGTGGTTGTGTTGCTATGCTCCATCCTTCAGAGCAAAACCAACTTATGTGTGAATAAATTCCCCTCTCCCTCAAATGACAACAAATGTCCAAACTCCCTTAAAGCTATGCAGAAACAGCAAAGCTGAGCTTGGTTTTCTGAAGGGGAGCTGGAAGGGGTGAGGGTTGGGAGGGGACCCACGCAGGGCGAAGCCAGAGGCTGCGTTCCTGCCGTGGAGCCCGGGAAGCTGGGCAATAACTCGCTGGCAGCAGAGCTATGTGAAGTATCCGGGAGCGCATCATCCCCGGTGTTTATTTACCCTGCGCGTGTGTGCGCGCAGCCAGGAGCAGGCGCTGTGCTCGGGAAGGCAAAGCTGTGCAGCTGAATCCCAGCAGCACCGAGGAGACAAGGGCTGATCTTTCCGCCCATGACACAGGTGCCCCATGCAGACCAAAGGCATCTGAAAAAGCTGTGGTGCTTGATTCCCAGCAGGAATCTAACTTGGTTCCACCTGCTTTGCTCTTCCCAAGGAAACTAGTCCTTTAGCAGGTGCTTTGTGTGAAAACCTTGTAATATTACTGGGTTTGGTTTTGTTGGCATGGGGAGCACCTGTTGAATGAACAAGGAGAGAGGGATAGGAAAGAGGTTGCAGGTTGGTTGCAAAACCACCCCCTGGCACTACCTGCGCTTCCAGTTTGGACTCCCTGAGCGCTGCAGGGGGCTCTTTTTGACAGGTTTTGTTCACAGACGGGAGATGAGCCTGGATCCAAAAGGCTGCTGCAAGAAGCTGTGGGAGACCAGCAGGCTCCTCTTGAGATTTGTGAGATTGCAAAAAAGAAACAAAAAATAAATGAGGAATTCCTGAGGATGGGAGAGGAAAAAAACTCCTGGCATTCGACTGGTAGAATGCGAGAACAAAGTATATTTTCATAGGCGTGTTCCTAAGCAACGAGGCAAGGAAAGAAATTAAGTTTGACTTGAACTTTCTGGCCTCTGCCAGTTTGGCCAGCAGTGCAGGACCATGCGCTGGGGAAGCTGGCCTGGCCCTCCCATCTGTCAATGACCAAAATTGGCCCTGAGCTGCGAACTGCTGAGAAAGAATCAGCACTCTGCAAAATAAACTATGTGACAGCAGCGAGGACTAGATCAAACTGCATTTCTATCTATTTCTGCTCTTGGCACTGGCCGAGCTCAAAATCACAGATGCTTTCCTCTTTATAGTTGAGGTGGAGAAGCAACCAGTGGTATTATAAGAGCCCAAGCCTGGGAGGCTGGGCTTGGCTCTTCTGTAGACCAGATGTCTTGCCTGAGGACAAGATGCTCCCGGGTACCATGCCTCAGTTTCCTCATCTTTAAGCTGGGCACAGCTGTACTGACAAATGCTGGACCTACTGAGCAGAATATGTTAATGGTCGCTGAGAGGTCGGAAATGAAAGAAAGCGTGGGATTAGAGGGTTTTGGTAAGGCTCATTTTAAGTAGACCAGTGTGTAGGTACTGACAGGACAGTCCCTGTAATCCTTCCTGGCACAACTGTCCTTTGCTGAAAGCCAAACATTACGGCTGTAATGGACTGTTCCTGGTAAAACAACATGAATGAGCTTCATTTATGGCACAGGCTGCAGGATTCTGGGCTTTCTCTGTTTTGTTTAGGTTTCCTTTGAAATACACCATGTCTTTCCATTTTTCTGCCCCATGCTCCTGCCAGACTTCCTCCTGCTGAGACAGCAAGGTCAGGCCGAGCGCCGGGGAGCGGAGGGCACAGATTGGAGCCTGCTGCCCTTAAAAAGGCTTGTGGAAAAACAAAGGTTGTCAAATATTTCCTTCTCCTCTCTTAGTCCTGCTCACTTTCTAGAAAGCGAGCAAGACTTGGCAAGTTTCCGCACGAAACTGTGAGCCAACGATAACCAGGAGGGGAAAGGAGGGGGGTTGCAGAATTAGCCCTAAGAAAATCGTCTTTGCTGCGTCAGCTAGAAGTAGGCGGAGTAGGAGCGCTACCAAGCCCAAGTTTCCTGCATCTTGTGTTTGGTGCAGTCTTTATCCCTTCCCAACTTATCCCCCCCCCCCATTTCTCGTTCCCATGCTCTTCTGCTCCCCATTCAGGGACGCAGGGCTTCAGGAGTGAGCAATGGGGATGTGGCAGGACAGGTGGGCAGCTGAGGTCTGGGGTGCAGAGTGAGGGTCAAGGTTAGGGCAGGGGTCATGGGAGCGGGGTGCTTGGGATGCACCGTCTTGCAGCCATGTGTTGCTCAGGGAGGGACCCGGCTGGTGCAAGCGGCAGGTCCTTTGTGCGAAGCAGCTCCCGAGCTGTCAAGGCAAAAGCTAGTAGCAACAGGCCTGGAAAGCCTCAGATCCAAAACAGGAAAATCTCCATTTTTCTTTTGATCTGAAGTTTCAACAACAATAACAATATATTAAAAAAAAAAAAAAAAAAAGAATTAAATCCATCAGGTGCCAGCAAGAGCCGGGTTTCTGCGGTGTGTGTACGGGGGAGGGAGGGATGGGTGGTTCAAACAGGAAAGGAGGGGCCTTGGCTGGAAAGATTTTGCTGCAGCCTGATTTCTAAGGAAGGAGGGAGAATATTAAGTAGTCGATCCAAATGAAATTCCTGCCTGGTGCCAGCAGAGTTCACTGGAGAAAAGACATGGCTCTGTGCGTGTGTGCATTCATGATAGATCTGGTCCCCAGCTCCCGCACAGCGCTGTCAGCCTGGACCCGCTCCAGGTGAATGAAGGGAGCCCCTCCAGAGCCTGTACTGCTGCAGGGGAGAACTGGGGCTGGCCTTAAATGGGAGCCCCGGCAAACCTGAGAGGTGGCTGTGTGCCTCCTCCTGTCAGTATTTAAGCACCAGCATCCTGTACCCAGATGTCCGTGGTGGCTGTGGCACATCAGTGTGTGACCAGAGTTGTGTGCGACTGGAAGTGTTTGCGTGATTGCGGGTAGAGGTGTCTCCTCAGGCCCAGAAGACAGGAGTAGGAGAGCTCGGGTATGTTTTGTTCCAGCTTCAAGACAGCCCTCGGTTTCTTTTGTTGTGTAGTTTGGCTCATGTGCGTCAGGGCAGACAGGGAGGAAGAAGAGGAGAAGCGAGTAGGCACTGCCTTGCACAGAGTGTGGTCCTCTGCTTCCTCCTAACGTCTGCTGGAAGTTTTACTCATGCTGGGCTGAAAGACATCACAGATGTGAGAGTAGCTGTGGGAGTTTTTACAGTGGGGATGGTTCTCTGTCCTCTTCACCTAAAGTGGAAAGCCTGGGAGC